ATGCTCAGGGCAGAGGCGCATTACGGCGACTATATTCCGACGGCTATTCATATGATGAGAAGTAAAGCATCTATCTCCACATAGACGTGTAACAGAGTTTTGCAAAACTTTTTGGGCTCAGCAAGGAATGAGGAGGTTTGGCAACGCCAAAAAATGAAGGTTGGCTAAACCTGGCATAGTTGGTGTGCATGGCATGTTAATCTCCTGGACTATCCATATCGAACATCACTTACTAGGCAACAACACATAAACCGAACGTGACAAAAAAAATCACCACTTTTACTAACCTAATTACACATACTGACTTCAGAAATGTGAGTGAAACAAAGGCATAATTCAATGACAACTAGAGCTCACCTCTTACCACTGACAACTTTGTACACCAACGCTGCTGCAGAAGGCCATTGTACTCCAAAAAAGTGCGATAAAAGGTCTTAGTATCTCTCCATAGCTAGCAGTTCGGACACTGTCTCAGAGAGAGACTCTATAGATATGTCTGTGAAGATGCGGAATACCTGCATCTTGACAGAAAGTATTATACTAAAAGTTATAATTTGTGTGTTTGAGATTCTTGACCAACTTTCTTACATAGTTAGACTAGCTAACTAGTCTAACTACGTCGTAGTCAAACTAATTAAAGTGATTCAAATTTTGAGTTACCTTTTCAACAAAATAGAGGCAAGACAAATAAATAGAAGATGAGGAGTAAATAAAGTAGCAGTTGCTCTTCCATTAAGAAGGGACTTGGGGAAAGATGAGGTTCAAATTCAGTTTTTATTTTGTCAGCTAAAGCTAATGATTTCTGATTTATACGCTGAATAAACAGATACTTATGAATCCGTGCGTGAGCGGTGACCGCCGCATCAATTTGAATTGTAACGTTTAAAACCACTGTTTTCTTTAAAAGACTCGCTCCTACCATAGCTGCATGTCTCAGGACATCCGGATACTGATCGCCCATCACCTGCATTTCATCAAAATAGGTTATGAAAAAACTATCCATATCCAATTCGTGGAAACTCGTCCTGCGGGCCTTTTGTCATCAGGAGCCAAAAGCCTATAGGAAATAAAATGCGCGCAAGACACGTAGTGCAATAGGCTCTTAAAACATTTGAAGCCCTACGGGCCGTCTATCCCCTACTGGTTCGCCCTGAGAACCAATCGCTGCCCTGAAAACGTATAAGTGACGCCTACAGAGTTATGGTTCCTAGTTATGGTTTACCCATCCAATACGCGTTTTGAAGATTTAATTGATATTTGTGGAGTTAATTATCATTCTCAAAAATGAAGATTCAAAGTAATTTATAATTTACTTAGTATTGTTAATACACGCATACGTATATTAACAAGTGTAGATGAAATCACTTCACTTTGTTCGGTAGTTAGTTTAGCGCGTAGTAAACAAAGGTTCGAATCATAAACGAGAGGAAAAACGTATTTTATTCTGGGAGCGTCTCGTATACTTGGCATCTCGCCATAAGGCTTGTAAACATCCGTATGTCCACCATAAAAAGCCTTTCTTAGAAATTGAGCTTCTTAGGTCTTCCCCAGTAGAGGGAACTTTTAGCATCATAGTTAGAGCGAAAAATCTTCCTAGCTAAGCCACCTTCGTCTAGTGAAAAGAGGCGCGCGGACTAGCTATGTTAAAAAAACTAAAAACATGTATCTGAAGAAGGAAATCTACGAATAACCTGGTATTGCAAGAATGATTTTATTATGGATTTTGTTTTACCTAAGATCCGGTCCCAAAATATCGTAGCCAAGAATACCGAAGACCTATTGCGGTCAATACTATTTCCAATCGATCTCAAAAAAAACATCAGGTGCCCTCTGTGGACTATCAGAGGCCTTCCCTTGTTCCCCTTGGCGATCGCTTCTTTCGAGGGGTTGCTATGTAAGTTTGAAGTCTATGCAATCCAATTACAAGAGTCATATCGAATTCTCTCCCACCTAATATGAGGCCGGTAGCCAGGGCGGAGCACTGGCATGACCAAAATACAACGGAAAAGCGCACTTCTCTTGAAACTGTCTCGATGGAATGCCGACCTGTTCACAGGCCAAGACGTTGAGTCACGCCTGTGCGCTCTATTCCGCATTCATCCGCACTCGGATGGCGGAGTGAGTGAACTGAGTTTTTATGAAGCCATCATTTTCTTGCTGTCAAAACTTATGATGTGTATCGCACTCATTTTTTATGATTTTGAGGAGAGCTTGAATGTCATCGCGCTTTATGATTTCAAAAAGAGCTTCAATTGGCATGGTGGTCATGGATCGTCGCAGTGAAAATTGCATCCAGCTTCAAGCTCCATGACGGATTCAGACAATGACAGTTGCCGAATGATGTCTTCAATTAGAGAAGATTTGCTACAGTTCTTCACACGCCTTGCATATTCAAGTGAATTGATGTTTTTGGATATATTACACTAGATAGTTTTATCAAGTTGAAATATGAAAATATGTTGTACAATCAAATATTTTTTAACAATTATAATTAGCCATATGTTTTTTATTTATTTTGAAAAATATTAAGTATTTGACTGCAGATATAAGGAAAAAATATATAATTATCTTTGATTTGATTTTAAATTTAGTTTAAAAAATTATGTTGTAAATTAAAAACTGTAACAATACATTTAGGTTTCAAAAAAATATTTCAATTGCAATTACTATGAGGTTAAGGTTGCTTCACGTTATTATTCAAGAAGTATTGTAGATTTCTGAATCTTGCTTTGTTCATGCATTTGCGGTTTTGTATTAACATAAACTATGTTTTTACCATTCTTGCTGCCTTGAATTTTACCATACATTTACATCTTCATTACTCTGAATTTGATGTAGCTTTAGATTCATAGGCGACATAAAATTACTTCCTCAAAGCAAAGAGTATAACTACCATGATGTGTTTAAGAATGTGATGTTAATTGTCGCAGGTGAGAAATTATATTTCACGAAGATGGTTCATTCCAACTCATTAAAACATGCTCGTATCTGGTGTGGAAACTTGTATAGAGTTAGGATTACTATCATCATGCAAGTTATATAGTTTAAAAAAGATTAGTATTCACAAATGCACTTTTGCATAAAAAGATAAATATTAATAAATCTTGGATAATCATCAATCAATGTAACATTTTCAGTAAGTGAGGATTTATGTTAGATAGTATGCAAGTCACTTTGTACCTACAAAGTTTTGAAACTATAAAGTCTAACATCAACAATTGTATTATGATGCTTGTCCATAACACAATATTCAGATTCAATATATTTAATGAATATATCAACATATTTTTTATTTCAAGGAGCTACAAGTATCAAACACTCATGTGTCTATACTAGAATATCAAATTTAGATTGATCGTAAAATATCATCGTAATTTTATGTACTATCTTTTAGATTCTACATGTTTTTGAAACTTAGATTCAAACAGAAGCACGATGAAATTGATACTTATCACATCACATGTGCAAAAAATTATTGTAAATTGAACAATGAATCAATGATTTTATATCTTCTATTAGTTATATATTTAAACTTAAATTGAAAAGAATGGCTTGATTTTTATATCTTAGCATTGAGCAGTTAAATTTATCTTTTTGTCAATATATATATTACTTTGACTATTTCAAATTCTCAACTCTATCACCATCCAAATACATTTTTTACAGTTAAACAACATTGTTAGATATTTACATATTCATGGGGAGGGGACAATCGGAATTTCTTTGAAGTTCGGGTTAGCTTATAAAGGTAGTCCAGATCAAAAGCCCCTTACTGGAAGGTTACCCAGAGCAAGAAAAAAAATTCCATGATTCATGGAATTTTTTTTTAGAAAATAAGTAGTATTTTTCTACCAACTATAAATCAGAATATAAGTTAATTTTAAATTATAATCATCATTAAAAGAATCTGAAAATTACACTGAAATAATTCAAGAGCTACTTAAAATTTTCTACACAACAAATAATGACAAAAGAGTTTTTAATTCAAAGGCTAAAGACAAATCCATTAAGCTTTGTTTCATGTCTCTACTTAAAATCATAATACTTGTTGGAAAACTTTCCAGCTAATTCTTCAATCTTCTGCAAATGTAGTAGTGAGAATTTGTGAATATTTATATTTACATAGAAAAACAATCAAATGAGATTTACGTGTGTAATAAAATGTGATGAGCTTAAGAGGATCTTTGTTCTCAAGGTGGCCAAATTATTTCAATCTTTATGATCTTGATAATTCGTCTTATTTTCAAAGAAAACTTTCAAGTTGGGATGCAAGATCAAGGATAATATTACATAAGCTTTTTCTCTGTAGTTAATGACTATCGTGTGTTGATAGAGTCATATATATACACTCTCATCACTCATTGCACAAATCACACACATATGATTCACAATGCATTGAGACACTTAATTGGATGACATTTGTAGCCTTTATTTTGGACATAGGGGCCCGAACATTCTATAATGACGAGGGAATCCACAACGTAACTGTTAAGCTAACTGATAGAAAATTAAAATAAGGTGTAGCAAGTTGCATATAGGGGTGAAAAAATGATCGCCAACTCAAAACATAAAGCATACAAAAGGGAAAGGAGTATATTCTTCAGAATTGGAGCATATACCCATTAGGCCGTACAATATTTACGAGGGAAATTCAAACCGCTATGTTATGGTACGTGATTTTCTGCAGTTGAAGGGGGATAGAAAATTAAAACAAGGTGCAACAAGTTGCATGTAGGGGCGAAAAAATGATCTCCAACTCAAAGCATAAAGCATACAAAAGGGAAAGGGGTATATTCTCCAGAATTGGAGCAGCGGAAGCTGGACGGAGGATACCATGAGGCCGTACAATGTTTACAAGGGAAATTCCAACCGCTATGCTATGGGACGTGATTTTCTGCAGTTGAAGGGGGATAGAAAATTAAAACAAGGTGCAGCAAGTTGCATATAGGGGCGAAAGTGAGAAAGAGAGCTTCAAGCAAGGGGTTGAAGTTATAGTCCTGTTGGACAATGGAAGGACGAGGTTCTCATCGCTGGATGTTCTGTGCGAAAGTTGGGGTTAACATATTCGCGGGGTTTGATTTCCAGGAGTTTCTTGGGGGCTTAGCGCGGCAATGACTTTGGGAGGTGGGGATCTTCTATCATGATCCGATCCGTGCAAAGTTTGCAATGCCAGTACTCTGCATGTCTCCACTTCGCTATCAATTCTTGCCAATGAGTTGCACTTTTCTCGTTCAAGATTCTTAAGTCGACTCATGCAAATAATGTTATATCACAAATTTCCTCCATGATCAAGTGCATCTCAGCTCCGCAATGATACGGCTCCCGCAGCAGCTTCTTCGTAAAATGTGCACCGTCCCCTCTCTGCGGGTACCAAAAGAGTAGAATGATTTGCCTGTCAAGTGACACATCTAGAACCTTCACAATGGCCATGGCCGTGAACTCATAGTGGTGCAAGGATGCAAAGCATACAAACGGTGCATCATCTCGTACTCGACGTACATGTTTTAGATGGTGCAGCATGATGATGTCCGTAGTGGCTGCTATTGTACGCTCTGGTCCAATCTACCTGCGTTCCGCGTCCGTTAGTTGTGCGAGGTCTTCATTCTTCCGGAACTTGCAACTTAAGCGCCGCTGCACACGCGTCTCGTCGCCTGGACGCCACCAGCACACCTCACCACTGTAATGCTACTGCATGTCGTTGTAGCCTGTTTCTTTTGTAAATATGACTGATGCAGTGTTCGTGAGTAGGAGATTGTAGAACTGCAGATGCGCATTCATTCTTGTTCGATCGATAGATCTGCGATGTCATAAGCTGACCTCTGTGAATCCGAATGTATGTAATTTTTTCGAGATCGGTGTGTAAAAAGATCAGGAATTGTGGTCACGAATTGTAGTGAAACGACTGTGCTTCGTACGCATAATGAAGATTACCTCTTGAATCACACATGTTCAGGACATCATCTGGATGCGTGATTTGCCTTATTTGGACTCACCTTGCGAGTAGCTTCACTGTAGAGTGGTCTGGGTAAAGAATAGTTTCTGCAAACTTTTGTGTCGTTGAGATTTAGAATCTTGTTCACCGGAGGTGTAAGCTTTGTCTACCACAGGAGAGTGACGAGCAAGTTTCAAACGTTCGCAACCATGTCCTCTGAAATCAACGAATCAGCTGCAAAAAATCCGGGGCTATGTGAATCCCCTGATGAAGCAACCAAAGGATATTTCATTCAGCAAACTGTGAGTTCTTCTACATTTGACGGTTCATGTCCAGCTTAAGCAATTCGTGGTCTACTTCGAAGTTGTCCAGGCACTGCTTTTGCTAACTTGATTTTATAGTACGCTGTTTGCTAGCATTCATCAGCTTGATGGGACTAACGAAGAATGTTATTACACATGCTTGTAGATGTACCGAATTCAAGACCCCAAAGTAAGCTTAGATTTCTACACCCGCATATTGGGAATGACGTAAGATTCTTCCCGTGCCTACCGATGTCTTGATACAAAACAGAGTCTAATTTTCGACCTTTTTAAGTGGGTTCCGCTATCACCGAGTAATATTTACTGTATTTTCCTCTCAGTGCTTGAAAGCTTGAGACTTTGTATTAGGGATTGACTGCGACGTTATGATTCATGATTTTCGGAAGTTGGTGCATTTTCACAGAAAGATTCAATCTACTAGTACAGATTAGGCTCGAGGTATTAATATCTCATAACCTATCCGCAGGCTCCTAAAGAAGTTGGACTTTCCAGAAATGAAGTTCAGTTTATATTTCGTGGGATACGAGGTACAGCTTCTTCTTTGGATTTGAGGGCAGAGAGCTCTATTTCTTACTTACAATGGTACGACGCTTTGCTCTTTAAACAAAAAAACAAGATAATCAACTCCTCTCAATATATTTCTATTACATCATCCATCTGATTTTTGTTCTTATGTATCTGCAGGATCCCGCTAGTATACCCACCGATCCTGCTGAGCGGATGGCTTACACTTTTAGTTCCAAAGCGACTCTTGAGCTTACACAGTAAGAAATGCTGTCTTAGCAAAGATTGAATGAAGCTAGATGATCTTGTCCATTTATTGGAGACTTACAGGCGTGAATGTCCTTTTGTTGTGTATGATAGCATATCCGTGCACAAATATGTGGTCTCTACAGGTTCTTCTTCTGTTGGATCAATGTGCTCTTATTGGATTGTTACTTCTCAAATTTGCTGGGTTTCTTTCCAACCTTACGTTAAATCCACTTCCAAGTGACGATTTTTCAGACCATGGACTCATGACGCTACAGCCACAGAACTCGAACTTTTTAACAGACGGGACCATAGGACCGAACCTTAGCTTCTATAGAACCTTAGTTTAGAAACATCATTGAGATTAATAGAGTGTCTTTATCCGGAGTGCACACTGACCCTAAGTATCGGCCAGCATGAAAGGTCAGAAGTCAGTGAAGAAGTCACACCATAGATTGGAATAATATGGGTTATAGGAAGATAGGTACGCAGTCGATCAGTCCTGATGAATAAGAACACGCCTTCAGATAGCCTTCTCTAACTCTGTATCATGACTCTTCCTAGTCAGTACAGTTTCAAGTTTGCGTGAGTACAGCTTCTACTTAAGCAGAGTTGCATTTGGTGTCTAGTCGTATCTTGACAAACTAGAATTTTCACAGAGGAACTCTATGTATAGCTCTCTTTTTTCTCTAAGATCGTTGATGGAAACAAATTTTTACTGCATATTTCATATAGATTTCCAGAATTGTCTTGGATACAGTGGCATTTTTATATATGTCTAGAATTACCAGCAAAAAATAACTGTGCAACATAACCTACCAGCTGAGTAAAGTTTTACAACAACCTTTTAGCTCTTGACAGTTTACCCTATCGCTCCTCGCGTCAAAGGGACGTTGTAGATGGCTGTCTTGCTTGAGTTCAATATCTTCCGTAATATTGGCGAGAAGCTGGAACTATGCAATGTTAACCTGAAAACTTTGGCTAGATTTTATGGTTCCATAGTACTCCGACGGCTGAACTTGATCGTCGATGTCATATCAGTGTCTTAACTTTGAGAGTTGAATATGTTATGTTTCTGTATATGAAGCTTTTATTCCAAATTGTAAGAAGTTTCCTTTCCAGTCAGACAATGTGCACAGAAACAAACTATGGAATCACCATACAAGTTTCGTAATTTAGTCGATTATTCAAGTACGAGCTTAAGTTGTTGCTTGCCTTGTTTGCAGCAACTGGGGCACTGAATCAGACGAGAATTTCAAAGGACATCACAATGGCAATAGCGAGCCTCGTGGCTACGGTACGTGTGAGGAGATTGTCCTTCTCACTATTCTGTCACTTTCACCTATAAAAAATCCCCATCATGACCACTCTTCATTCTAAAGGGCACCATTCAATCGTGATGACCTTAACATTTGTTCTTGTCCTACTGTAGTATGTCATCCTCTTACAGACCCTCAATTGGAGGATTATGGTTTACCATTCCTTATAGACCCCAGGCGAGGAATGTAAGGCTTAGTTTGGCTCGACCTGGCGGTTTACACATTTGCACCACGCTCAGATTTCCTGCTCACCATGTGTTCTCCTTCCGCAAATATTACCTTGCTCTGTCTTTCATTCTAAAAAGAATCATCTGTTTTTTATTGGCACCTGAAGCTGACATCTTCAACAAAGTCACTGAAGCTCTGATAAGGGGTATGTTTTTGGCACAAATGTGTCGGTCTATGTTTGAAAGACATGTATTTCATGTGTGGTTCAGGGCATATTGGGATTACTGTCGATGACACCTACAAGGCATGTGAAAGGTTCGAAAAGATGGGCGTGAAGTTTGTTAAGAAGCCCGATGATGGTACGTGCTGAGATTGATTTTCCTAGGATAAACGGTTTGATTGAAGGTTTCCCACGAGAGACTTAGTACTTTGTCTAGTTTTTCATTTAGCTGTGGAGTTGCCGTCTGGTGGCTAGCTTCATAGTATGTCTTGGAAAGGAGTTCTGGATTTACATGCTGGATTGAGTTCAAATAGCAGACATGAAAACTGGACAGAGTGAGGTGTTGGAGGTCGAACATCTGAATGAAATTGATGGAGATTCGGTGAGATTCTTGTTAGTGGAAATCGTGTTGAACTTTAATGGGAAAGTAAAGATTTTCGTTCCGAGTGGATGCTGCAGGAAAAATGAAAGGATTGGCTTTTATCCAAGACCCAGATGGTTACTGGATTGAAATCTTTGACGTCAAGAAAATGAAGTCGTCTTTTTCCTGATAGGTAAGCAAGTTGGTCGGTTTTGAGCTTTTCTGTTGAACACTGGTGTGAAGATGACACTTCTTCTTACGCGCATCCAATTAGTAAGGCTTACCACCAAGCTGGCACGATTTTACATCAGAAGCAATCAGCTAGATGCCTTGCTCGCTGTCAAACCCACTCCGTTAGGAATAGTTGGCTCGCCTGATTTTCTTATCTCGGTATTGCAGATGCATGACATGATCCAGCACTGAATGTTTGGCCGCAGATCGGGACAGGATGTTATTCAAATATCGTGCAGTCATGCATCGAACCCTGAATACTCGAGTTTAATTGTCTGCGTACTGTCTGGTCTACTTTTTTTGCGTTGTAGAACTATAAATAGATGGTAGAAATTTTTTTGTTCCAGTGAACCAGCTGATGTGTGGTAACATGTCCTGAAGAATGCAAGTCGAAATTTTCGATTTATGTGTTCCTTTGTTAAAATACACACGTGTGCGCAAGTTTACAGCATTTTGACCATTTCAAACTTAGCAAGACGCTGTAACCTGTCATTCTCTGTCATAGCCTTGATAAAGAAGCTTCCCTGCTGTACGGTCCCTCGATACTAACGCATCAGTGCCGGTGTCTGCGCACTTGAACATTGCTGAAGTGCCGGTGAGTGTAAGTTATGTCTTCATTGAAGAGACTCAGCGGAGCGGCAGCTTTAGCTTGCAGGATAATATAATATGCAGTCTGTTAAAAATGAAGTGCACAAACTAATACACCGAAAGTGATGATACTAGTCTCTTGGTCATTGTAGCATATATATGCTCTAACGAAAAGAAGTTACGGAGTTTAAGCTATCATTGAAAATGCGTTATCCTTGTGATAATTTAGTTACATATTGGGAAAATTCGTGTAAAAACACGTGAACGAAAACTTTTCGATGGAAACCCATGGGCGGGTTAAATTTCATCTGACAGATTGTGCTGTTGTAGAGACTGTAAACTTGGCAGGAAGCACCCTAAGACCTTCCACACCTTCCAAGTACTGTCGCGCTCATGAATTTTTTGAGTCCTCTGAACTGCAATGAAGAATTTTCATGTCAAATAAGAAAGAGTTTTTAATTGGTGACACTTCATGAAAAAGCCAAACAGATTTCCGATCACTGGAATTGTAGGCTGGTGATTTTTTTGCATCAGAAGCTTGGCCACAAAAGTTGGAAGCAGCGGAAAAAAATGTGTTCGTACAAGATACGTGGATCTTGACAGGGCTAAACAATGGAAGTCGACTTTAGGAACAATTTTGGCACAGTATGGTCGGAAAGACGAGTTCAACATAGATGAGACCAGATTTTCTTTCGTGCTTTTCCAGATTCAACATTGAGTTATGTTGCTCAATCGTTTAAGGGAGTGAAATAAGGAAAGTATCGAGTAGTGATTCTGACCTGTTATGCAACGGATGAAAAACTACCTTCTTAGATAATCGGAAAGTCAAAAGGTCATTGTTGTTTTTGTGATGTGGACACGGAAAAGCTGAAGTTGAATTATGCAAACTGTGCAAAAGCTTGAATGACAAACCCAATATGTAATCCTATCAGAAGGACTTGGACAAGTATTTCAAAAAGAAAGGCTGCACAATGCTTCTCTTTTTGGAGAATGCGTCAATCCACATTCTAGATGAAGGGACCTGTCAAATGTTGAACTTCAATCTTTTTTTTTTTAGCCTAACGTGCATTTTGCAGTCACTCGATACTCGAATCATCTGAAAGCATTCGACCCGAGGCATCGGTTAAAACTTAAAGTGGAGTCTCCTCCCCCTCGTGTCATGGTCATGGTCCCAGAAGATTCAAAATAGCGATTCTTCTGTTCGAATACTCCTTAACATCAACCTAGTATGAACGCTAATCGAAGGAAATGAAACCTCAACTGGGTTCGTACATTCCTTCATCTAGAATAGACACAGAATTAGAAACTCCTGTACACTTTGATAATCGGCTCCATCTCTTCAGGTGATTCAGGCCTGGAAGAGGTTAGTTCAATGTAAGATGAAATGAGAGGCATTTGTACATTCCAAACTGGCGAAATTTGAAGTTTGAATACATTTTTCACGCCGTGTCTTCGTGGTTACTGACAAAAAGTGCAAACGCAAACCTTTGATTAGTGTACACTCTGTTGTCAGAGGACCCCGAGTGCTGTGAGGGGACCTGAAGTGATAATCTCGTTGCATGCATGTTTGTCTTGAACTATAAAAGCCACGCCTTGGACTGATCCGGTACACGCAGACTACTTGGAAAGGCAAAAGAAGTTTGAGAGTAGAGGAGTTTCAAAATAACTTCTTGTACCTCGATACATTGAATATGATATTTCAGTGTAGTACGGACCAAACCGCGAAACATTCGTGATTTCTGTACTTTGAGGCGTCCCTTCGATGTAATAATCTCAACTTGCTTTCTCGCTTCACGTATCCTTTTAAACCCAACCATCGTTAGAAACTCACTGACTTGTTGAGAATCATTTCGTCTCGTAACTTTCCAAAGAGCTTGTTTAAATTTCATCGTCCACTTTTCTGCTTTTAATCCGAATACAGTACATGCACACGAAGATTTTCTAAGGATTAATTCCCATGTACCTTCTGGAAAATACAAGAAAGTCGAAATCTCGGCACGGGCTATTGTATATCATTTCTGCAAGTGTAGAACTCCTCTCAGATCATAAACTGAACTGTCAATTGTGAAGTCATCCCCTCCCATGCACAACGAGCAGTTGCATCATCTATTAATGCACTTTTGACCCTTCATCACTTTCAGTGGCAGCTGAGATACCTCGGGAAGACTAGAATTCAGTGTCGACTAGATTCGTGATTGTCCTACATAACTTTGTACATCAGAAGTCTTCGTAATTCCACGTACTTGTTTCCTGGAAGTTTAACAAACGTGCAAAAGTCCGGTTTATTTTCGATAGTCAAAGCACCTGACCTCCTGTTTCTTGCTTTCCATGATTGTTCAACGTAGAATCAATCTACTTTACTGTCAGGTGTTTCAGTTGACTGCATTACTAAGTTTTCATACATATGTATATTAACAAGTGTAGATGAAATCACTCCGCAGGATCGGGAGATCTGGATCAGGATCAGATCTGCGCTTAATCAGGAGAGATCTATCCTGTCTGTTCGCATTCATACGACGAGTCAATAGCTTGTACTCTGGGTAAATTCTTCTGCTTTTGCCCTTGTTAAATCGATCACGAAGTTTCATCACAAATTCGTCGAGGTTGAGTATTTTTTTGGAATATTATTAGCAGTGAAGCCGTGATTTTCAGTTCGGAGAAGATTGTAACGGTTCATAAATAATTTCCTTAACTTTCTGCAAACATATAAATAAATTTAGAGGATAGTATTCTTAACTTTCTGGGAGTAGCAAAAAAAATTTCAAGTACATATCAACAAATAAATCTCAGTGTGAGATTCCTCGCAAAGACTTAAAACTTGGTTTTACAGTCTTCCTGGTTAGAGTTCAAGTTTCTTGAAAAGCATCCATAAGCTCAGTCTTTTCCAATAAACTTGTAAAATGGAGGAAATAAAAATATAGGAACAATTTTTTTAAAAAAATTTGTCCACTCCATTATTCCTGGTATACATAATAAAACTGCAGACTAGAGCCACCCCGACAGTATGCCTCCGGGCTGACGGAGTTCACACTCAGGTGGCAAAGCCGCAGTACGTTGTTGTTCCACACGCTGGCAGTACGCTGTTGTTCCACATGTTGACGGTCCGAACTCACAACGACCTGCGGCTTAATCTCGGATGACTCGGCCGCAGTTCGTTGTTGTGAGTTCAAAACATGCAGGATTGCGGTAGTGAGTTCAGACTATCCAGGATTGCAGATTGCGGCCGTCTACCATGTCGCCCGTGTCGAACGACGCAATGCGGCTGCTGCGAAACGCGCAAGCACTCGCGAAGGCGGATTTAGACGCGCGCCGGTAGGAGGTGAAGCTGTCGACCACACTGAATGCGTAGGCTGAATAAGTTGTTTGACACTTGGCAGCTGCCTCCCGAATGGCGCTCGCCTTTGTCCACGCTCCCTAGCCATTTTCATTAACGTCAATCCTCGCCGAACGGGTCCCGATCGCCTCGAGCACGCCCTCAATGCTGGCAGAGACGAGCGCCTGCAGTGTCAACAACGCAGGCGCTCGTCTGTGGGTTGCAAACATGAGTTTGCAACTGTCAGCGTCTGAGTCCGCCACGGACGCGTTCGCATCCGTGGCGGACTCAGAAGCTGGAAGACTGCGGCGGTCCTGCGCCGCAGTGCCAATTCGAGCGATGGCGATGGCGTTGAAGCTCTCGAAGAGAGCTTGCACTAAACACAAAACATAAACTTGCGAGTGCGAGACGGGATGGAGGGTTGGACGGCAAGAAGACTGATAGCGGAGAGCGCAATGACTGATAGTGGGAGCTCGGGCGCCTGGAGCCCGCTGTCGTTCGTGATGTCGGAGGAGGCTCGACAGCGGCTGCTGGCGATGCTAGTGCTCCAGAAGGTGCGCGACCCCCGTACTTTGGCGGCGTGCACTTGCGTGAGCAAGGAGTGGAGAGAGGAGGCGAGCGACGAGAAGCTGTGGAGGAGGTTCTGCGAATCGCAGTGGCCGTCGCTGAAGTCCTCCGTGGGGAGGAAGCTCGCGCTCCAGCGCGGGTACTATTCTTTCTTTGCGAGAAGAATGAATCTGGACCTGAACCGAGCCGAGTTTGCGCTTCCTCCCAAGCTCGGAGCACTCCACATGGAGGACCTCATATTTTTCATGGATGTCGTGCACGAGAAGGACAATATCTTCTCGATGGTCGTGGAGGGCCAGAACGTGTCGGCCGTGCCTAGCACTGTGCTGAACGCTAGCATTGAGGACGTGTTTCGTTTCTGTGCGCCGTATTCCGAGAACGCCGAGGCGGTGGTCGTCCCCGAGTCCGGGAATGCTCAGAGGATTTGGACCAAGGCCCAAATCTGCAACTTCGAAGTCACTTGGTCCGTGATGGAGAAGAACACGCTCAAGTCCATTAAGCTCGTGCACACCAAGCGGGGCCGCATGGTCGGCAGCTCTTGCCTTTTCGAGTCATGTCTCCCGTTTCTTTCGTGCTTCTGCTCGGTGCTGCTCTACGATGCCGCTCTTCCCTCGGCGTGTCCGATCGCCGCGGAGGTCACCATTCAGTTTTCTGAATGCGATGCTGGGCTCTTTCGCTGGTCAGGCGTCACCATGGGCACCCTGGTGACCCACGCGCTGAGGTATCAGGCCAAGGATCAAGCTCTGATTTATCTGGAGTATCATTTCTCCATGTCCGAGTCGTTGTCGATGTGTCAATACAATTACAATTTTCAACGCGGGCTCCGACGGGAGTCTTGAGTCTTGGTGGTGGAAGACCATCGTCGCCTTCAAGAGGAGGCTTCAAGAAGAGCCGATGATCATCGACACTCCTCTCCTCCTAGTTGAAATTCTGTGCGGTGGTGGAAATTCTCCGTCTTCGAAGCATGGAGGTAGTCCTCCACGTCTTCGAAGCATGGAGGTAGTCCTCCACGTCCTGAGAATGTTAGAACGAGTGAGATATATTCGAACAGAGTTCGGGGGAGAACGAATGTGGAACTGATCTTTCATACCAGTTTCACATTCGTTTGCAATCTCTCTCTCCCGACCTTCGACAGCCGCCACTTTCTCTCCTGGAGTTCAAAGGAAAGGACGTGCGAATGAGAGTGTAAGACGATGGCAGCCTAGGCTAAATCAAAGCAGAGAGTGGGCGAAGCAGAGAGTGGGCAGAAAAAATCCGATGTAAAAACTTCTCATGTTTGTAGGACTTGTATATATTCAAACTGATCAAAACATAAATGTCTGAGTTTCCGATGTTACACTCAGCAACACATGAAATGTGCTGCTGTTTTTTCATGGCCACGCAATTCGCGGTATTGTCAAAATCTTGTCAATGACTTCTTCCACTAGTCAAATCGTGTCTATCACTTCCACGTAGCCACAGACGACGTAGATTTGCTACGTCGTCTTTAGCTACGATGAATTTTGCTGTCAAGATGTTCCTGTGTATTAACTTTCATGCACCAATGATACTTCACTATTGCAATTATGGAAAAGAATAAACCCGGGGAAAATAATGTCAAATCCAGCAACCGCTGTGTGTCAAAAGAACAAAGATTAACTGCCAACAAAATTTTGAACACAGCGCACCGACAAGAATACCGAAGAATCGTATATTACAATCCGATAGTGTATGAACAAATACCTGAACCAAAACATGTAATTTCTTTGGCTGCGTGTAGTTTTGCTGAAAGGATGTGCTGTGCATATAGTAAAGTTTGTGGGACTTCAAGAAATAGAAGAAACAAACTTCCATCAGTCCAGATTTCAAGAAAAAAGGTTGGATAAAGAAAACAGCAGTACCAGCAGTAGCAGCAGTAACTGGAACTCAATAAGCAACCGCAATCCAAGTAGTGGTACTAGTACCCTTGGCTAGAGTCCTAGGACCACCACCTTGAAACGAGGTTCAAAACGTAGAATGTCTTCTAGTGAATACCTAGGCATGTAGACTAATTGGACTGATGACTTCCTTGTTTCAAAAATCATTAGTCCAAAATTCGTTATTCAGTTTATTGGAAAACGAATTCTGTGGACCCAGAGAATTCGAAGACTTTTTTCTATATTCGAAGATTGAATCTGGAAGAAAGTCGAGTATTAACCAAAGTCATTTCTTTATAAAAGTCTTCTCCTAGTTCTCGCTCCATAAGTATTGTACCACAGCGTCCAATTGATCAAGTGCCGTGTTGAATGAAAACTTAGTAATGCAGTCAACTGAAACACCTGACAGTAAAGTAGATTGATTCTACGTTGAACAATCATGGAAAGCAAGAAACAGGAGGTCAGGTGCTTTGACTATCGAAAATAAACCGGACCTTTGCACGTTTGTTAAACTTCCAGGAAACAAGTACGTGGAATTACGAAGACTTCTGATGTACAAAGTCATGTAGGACAATCACGAATCTAGTCGACACTGACTTCTAGTCTTAACGAGGTATCTCAGCTGCCACTGAAAGTGATGAAGGGTCAAAAGTGCATTAATAGATGATGCAACTGCTCGTTGTGCATGGGAGGGGATGACTTCACAATTGACAGTTCAGTTTATGATCTGAGAGGAGTTCTACACTTGCAGAAATGATATACAATAGCCCGTGCCGAGATTTCGACTTTCTTGTATTTTCCGGAAAAAGGTACATGGGAATTAATCCTTAGAAAATCTTCGTGTGCATGTACTGTATTCGGATTAAAAGCAGTAAAGTGGACGAAGAAATTTAAACAAGCTCTTTGGACAGTTATGAGACGAAATGATTCTCAACAAGTCAGTGAGTTTCTAACGATGGTTGAGTTTAAAAGGATACGTGAAGCGAGAAAGCAAATTGAGATTATTACATCGAAGGGACGCCTCAAAGTACAGAAATCACGAATGTTTTGCGGTTTGGTCCGTACTACACTGAAATATCATATTCAATGTATCGAGGTACAAGTAGTTATTTTCAAACTCCTCTACCCTCAAACTTCTTTTGCCTTTCCAAGTATTCTGCGTGTACCAGATCAGTCCAAGGCGTGGCTTTTGTAGTTCAAGACAAACATGCATGCAACGAGATTGTCACTTCAGGTCCCCTCACAGCACTCGGGGTCCTCTGACAACAGAGTGTACACTAATCAAAGGTTTGCGTTTGCACTTTTTGTCAGTAACCACGAAGACACGGCGTGAAAAATGTATTCAAACTTCGAATTTCGCCAGTTTGGAATGTACAAATGCGTCTCATTTCATCTTACATTGAACTAACCTCTTCCAGGCCTGAATCACCTGAAGAGATGGAGCCGATAATCAAAGTGTACAGGAGTTTCTAATTCTGTGTCTATTCTAGATGAAGGAATGTACGAACCCAATTGAGGTTTCATTTCCTTCGATTAGCGTTCATACTAGTTTGATGTTAAGGAGTATTCGAACAGAAGAATCGTTATTTTGAATCTTCCGGGACCATGACCTTGACACGAGAGGGAGGAGACTCCACTTTAAGTTTTAACCGATGCCTCGGGTCGAATGCCATCTACCAGAGACTGCAAAACAGACGCCTTCTGCTTGCCATATATGCACTGACATATCCGGAGCACTTGCTGGTTTATAACTTTGTACTGCAAAGACTTCTTCCCGTGGAACTCATTCAAGGCTGTCTCTCGAACAAGTAACCCAACCTCTAGCGTGCTGTTGCTACCTGGGCATACAATTTCCATCGCATGTAATGCAGCCTCCAAATACGGGTAGTTTCCGTGAGGTCCCAAGAAGTCTCTGCTTACCGTGTACAGCTGAGTGAAGGATGCTTGGAGCCAACATCTTTCTCGGTGATCTAGTTTCTTGGAACATTCGATCACTTCCAGCTCTTTAGCGAGGTCCTTTGCAGGTGCCTTGTATCCGAAGGGCGAGAATTGCAAGACGAACTCGGGATTCGGCTCCAGCCGGGAATGAAGAGAGTACAACTTCTTCAGAGACGACTCGAATCGCGTTTCCAGCAAGCAGCGAGCACATTTACAAGTGAAATCCCAACATCTTGAGGCGATCTCTCGCCTTTGCGGTAGTGGCTGGAACACGTTGAAGTAGCTGCAGAGCAGCTCCTCTCCGGCACTCAAATCTCTAGATGCATACACGAACAAAGCTCTTCCAATCACCACCATCGACACGTTCGGGATGCACGAATGGTTGATGAACGAAGGTAACACCCACAACCCCCAGAAAACTCTCTCCTCATGATCTTCGGCATCAGTTCTAGGAGGATCATGTCTTCTCTCGAGGGCCGTCGACACCATGTTCCTGTCGATGGCATTTCGCATCACCAAGCGGTTGATCCGCTCCTCTTCCAAATTCAGAGTCTCCATCGGGGCTACCCTCCTGCCCGGGATGAAGAGATCCATGGAAGGTACTGCGTGCTGCGCACTATCGGGGCCATGACACAGGGCCAGCAGCCTCTGGCGATTCTTGGTGGATACCTTCGCTCGCTCCCGGACTGCAAGTACGAGCTTTTCCTGGATTTCCGGATCAAGCCTACCCTTCGCGCCAGAATCAAGCGAATTTTTTCGACATTTGTTTGCACTCATCGAATCCAACATGGCCAGAGGATTAGACACAAGGAGCAGGTCCCCAGCCTCAACATGCTTTGTCAAGAACAATCCACGACCCTTGTCCCCGCTAGCTGCTTTCACCTGAATCGGACCGACGTAGTCTGCACATGTCGGAATTTCCCCAGCGAACCTACCCTTGAGATAGAAATCAGTCAGCTCATAAACACCCAGTCGGCTTTGGTGGTCACCAATCCGACTCAGTTTTATGGCAGCAAGCAGATCTTTGTCGAAAGGTGCACGCGCATAAGCAGATTCCAGATGAGTCAATGCCTGCTGATAATCTCCAAGACCAAGAAGCGCCCTACCCTTTCGGAAAAGGCTCTTCAGATGGTGGGGATCGATGGACAGCGCTCGCTCGGCGTCAGCCCACGCCCTCTCGTAATGGTGGATCCTCAGCCACGCTTCCGCTCTGTTGGAATAGTCCATTACAACCTCCATCTCTGTCTCCACTCCGTTGCCATTCACATGATTGACTCTGTTACTCAAGGCCATCTGTTCTTTGGATTCTTGAACTGCTTTGTGAATTGCGCGGGTGTAGAGTTCGATTGCACCGGTCCAATCTTGTCGGGCGAATCGATGATTCCCCCGAATTCGAAGAGCTGCTGCAGTAGGTTCCTCCTCCACCACTGCATCGATGATCTCTTTGGGCTTTGACGCCTTTGAAGCATCTGATTCCTCGCAGGCACCGGCGGGTTGACTGCAACCATTGGACAGCAGGTGCTGGATTTCTTCAGATGCACACACACCATTGTCCGACTCCGTGCCTGCCTTGGAGGCTTCGACACCCGCCGATGAAGATTGAAGGCTCTTCGCCGAACCATTGCAGGTTTCGGTCGATTCCACTGAAGCCGGCGAATCTTCATGCGATAATTCATCGATGGCATGCGCTTCAACCTCTGCTGCCAATCTCTCTCCGCCATTTGGTATGGAACAGCTTCCGTTTGATGAAAGATGTGATTCCGCAGCGGTCACGATGCCATTCTCCCGAAGCTCACCCTTGGCTTCCGGGGGATGTGAAGTTGCCACACAAGCTCCATCAATCAGCTTCTTCTCTGAGAAAGCTGGAAGTCCGGGTAGAGATCCTTCTTGCGAAATAGCATGTACTTGCTCGCCTGAATCCACCGTCGCGACAACACTGGCCTCAAGTTTATCCTCAATAGCTAACTTCAAACAATCAGTCTGCCCTACAGAAGGATCCACCACTGCCTTTGCACAATCTGCTACCGATTGTTCCCCAGGGAGCTTGCACTCCACAACTTCCTCATTCTGGGGAGTCTCCGAAGCTATCACCAAAGACCTGACCTTTTCCTGCTCAGAAGTTCCTACCAAAATTGCCTCGTCTTTTTCAAGGCTTTCCTCGACACCTACTCCTACCTCACTCTCACTCTGCAATTCCACAACCCCAACCGGATTGGCACTGGAACTCTCTTCGGACTCAGTAACTATGGGCTCCAAAGCAATACTCTCGGTGCGCTGAGGTGCACATACTTCCGCATTTTCACCAGAACCAGCGATCATTTCCTTGCCTTGTTCAGAGTGGAGACCATTCTCAAATTCGGTGCGCGGAGCTACGCATTCTTCAAGAATCTCACCAGAACTGGCACTCACTCCCTTCCCTTCTTCGGCGTGGTGACCATTCTCGAGTTCGGCAATCGGGGCTGGATACACATCTGGCTCCCCTCGAGCCTCAGTCTGGGCATCTCCACCCTTTGAAACATCCGTCGAATCCGTCCTAAGAGAGCTAGAATCGGAATCTTCTCCTCGAGTACGGTTCGACGTCTGTTCGGGTTCATCTTCACAACAATCTTGCGACACCAGGATGCCGTTTGTCTCGTATCCATGAGCTTGCTGGTGTTGAGACAAATTGTTAGAGTCCTCTCCTTCAACTCTGCTGAGGGCATCAGGCTGATGACTGGAAACTTCTCCCGCCTCTGGGCTGTAACTCGTTGAGCCCTCAGCAAGCCCATGATGCGTTGCCTCGAGCTCGGGATCCACGCTATGGCCAGTAGGTACTCCACCTTCCTGGGAACGAGAGGCGATGGAGTCCCGCTCGTCCACATCTTGAATCTTCGAACTGGGGTCGCGCGAGCTGGCGGCTGCAGGTCCATTAGATTCATCAATCTGACGAAGTCCGGTGCCCGAACTCTCGCCGGCCAAGGGTTTAGGAGATCCTTCGGCTTTGCAGCCGTCTTCAACATGATCTACCGCGAGATGTCCCGGAGCTGCGCAATTCAGCTCGACGGAAGAACCTTCACAAGGCGGTGATGTGTGCACGGAACTGCCATCGCTCACCTCGTCTCCGACGGCGGATTTGGCCGGGGCGAATCGAGACGGCTCCGGGTCCTTAGTGTCGTCGTCGTCGCCGTCCTCGGAGCCTTGGTCCTGCTTGCGAAAGCTTTTGAATTTCCTGAACGTCCTGATTGAGAGACCATCAAGAGGATCGTCCAAGAAGCTCCTCGGGCTCCTTGGGGTGCGGGGAGAGCTAAGAGAGTTCTTTCCGAGGGGTGAAGGAGAAGACAAGAAACTCCCGTACGTGTTGAAAACGGGAGTGTCCGGTCCGTCCCCGGCGTGATCTTTGTACACGGGCCAGAGAAGGTTTTCCCGCTCGCTCACGGGCGACGGTAATTCATCGGGCAAGTAGTTAAAAATGATGTCATTCGGATTCTCGACGAGAATGCCGACCATGCCGTCAGCGAAGCGCTTCAAGTACGGCTCTCGCACAGAAAGCTGCGCATTCAGAGGATAGAGCCGCTGCGCCGTCGCAGTGGTTGCGCTTCTGGGCACTGCATTGGAGATAACGAACTTGGTTGCGTCTCCCGTCCCTTCTTCTTCGAGCACGTTCATTACAGCGAAAATTTTGACAGATTTGCAGCAGAGAGTACCACTGAGAATCCTTCCCCGATGCACCTTGCCGATCTTCATGTTGCGAAGCCGGATTGGCTTCAGGCACTTCAAATCCTGCAAGCTTCCGATCGCAGGGGACTTCGGATGTTCTCCTTCCGGCATAAAAGCGTACCCGTCGGCCTCCGCTCCCGTCCATCCCATTTCCAGAACCGCAGCATCGTGCAAAGCTGCCTCTTGCGCCGCTATCAACCCAGCTTTATCGAAGTGCTCCGACGACAAGATGCTCACAGAGTGATCCGGAGACGGAATGTGAATGTCACTCATACGCCGGCCGCTTGGACTTGCAGTCCTGTCCACATGATGCGGGGTCGGAGATCTGAGTTCAAACGTGGGATCGTAAGACAAACCCTGGGAGATATCTCCCATGTTTGCTTACTGCAGCACGGGGCCCGAGCTCACGAAGCGCAAAGGGGAAGAGGCGGAGCAGAGGAGGAGGTAAGAGAACAACAATACGGGCGAACGAGATGGCGGAGGTTCGTCACAGATTGCTAAACATGCAAGGTTCAACGCCCATATAATCTCGTCTACAGCACCAGAGGTCTGCTCGACTCGTCGCTCCAACTTCGAGTAAAACTACGGTGGTGAAACGCGACGAACATGGACATCACATGGACATCACGGAGTGGTGTACTGTCCAGCCTCCCTCATAGTTGAACTCAATCTCACATATCGTCCGGCCTCTTCGTCCTCGGTGATCATTCACGACAATCCTGCCAATTCGACCACCCCCGCCCTTCCGCCCTCCTTGCCTTCCTTTCTTCCTCCGCCCCAAACACCACCACCGAGCTTACGCACTCGGATCACCAAATTCTTCCGCTTCTTGATGCCGCAGCCAAATCATGAGCTCGAGCGCATTCGGAACGCATTCTCGATCCGCGGCCCGCTCCCCGATGGCTCTCCAGGCCTCCTGGCACCGTCTTGCTCCTCCAGCCGGAACTGCTGTTGTTTTGCTGTCTCCCTCGCCCTCACTCCCTCCTCTCTCACTCGCACTCGGGCTCAGTCTCAATCTCAATCTCCGCGTCTCTCCTTCACGCACAATTGCCTCGTCTTGAATTCTCCCTCTTTAGCGGATCGATCCCTTGAGCGAGTAACAGAAGCCACGTGCTCGCCGGATTCGCAGGGCGTGTTTGCTCCCCTCGTCGTCGTCCTGCAAGTCAGTGCGCCGGTCATGACTACCGACCCGCGATGCTTGCCAAGCGCAAGATTTTGCAGCGGGCCCTCCCTCCTCTCCTCTCCTCTCCTCTCACGAAGACGCGCTGCCGAGTGGAGCGGGCCGAGCGCGCAAGAGCTGCTGCACGAATTGCATTCGCGCTTGCCGCTGGCTCGCTGGCTCGCTGGCCGGCGAGCGGGCGGGCGGTAGCCCCGGCCTGGCCCGGCCCGGCCCCTTCTTCAAACTCAAACTGTGTCCTCCACCGCGCGGTCCTACGACTTTCCCGCCATCACCCACTGAATTATTAATCGGCCCCTTTCTCTTTTCCTCAGGCAGGGCCTGGAATCTCCTCCCCATCGACGCGCGCCGCACGATCCCCGCGAGCCTCGAAGCCGAGGAAGGACGGAGCTTGCTTCATCGCGTCCGTCGCCCAGCCCGACGCGTCGCCTCAGCGGAGGCGGGCGAGCTGGAGATGGAGATGGAGCAGGAGCAGGAACACGGCTTTGGCTCTGGCCTTGGCTTCGGGAGCTTCAAAACATCTGGGATTCTTAGAACCCAGAGCATCATCGCTAATTTTAATGCCGATCATGTGTGTACAGACGGGAGTATTTCCTACATGCTTACTACTCCCCCGTCTTCGTGGTCACGCACGCGACTGACAGACGCCCAAATCCGAGGGCAGCGTGGGGAATTCGCATACTGTTCGGCCATCAGGTGGGATTCGAAGATTTTCTACGCTCGTTTAATTAACAATCGCTCCTCCGGAAAGTCTCGCAGCGAAGTCGGATGGTGGATTGATTATGTGTCGTCCGGGTTTAATTCCACCATTTATTAATCTCTTCTTGTCTTCTTTGATGACGCGTCCGGTCGCGTCTTCATATCTGTCAAATGGCATGTTTGATTCTGTTCGTCCATAATTCATCCATCAATCAATGTCCGGCATGAGGACCACTCTGTATGGCTCCACCTCGACAAATCCACAAGTTCCATCGCTGGCATCTCCCGAAAAAGTCTTACATACCCTTTTTACCTTCAGCATTCGAACACAACACCGGGTCTGCCAGTACTGTACTGCACCCTCGATTTGCAGCGATCCGCCCGGGATCCTTAGGGCCATGTAATGAACTTTTGACTCCACTTCAAGTCCATAAGTTTTCTCCGAGTGTTGTAGAAAATTATTGGGATCACCCAAGAGCTATAAGTTGTAATCATGTTCATGATCCCTGACCACTTAAGAACAACATGCCAATGAGTTTTGACTACTATTCTAGAACAAGTTTAGTTTACTGTCAGAACCTTCGTATGCTCCGCTCTGCTTGTCATAAAGAAGTGAACCTAAACTGTCACAACTTCCCATGCCAATTGACATGTAACCTTATATGAGCATGGATTACAGTACCTCCAAGAAAAGACATTTTGATAACACGACGAAGCTTTATAAATAAAGCATTCAGTGCAACACATTATGTAAGTAACGCCAAACTAAAGTAAGTGAAACTCCATTAAATCACATCAATGATATATGTGGCAAGTATTAGGGAGTTTGAATTAAGAGTTAAATCATGTGCTTGGAATTGCTTACCGTTCAAAATGTGATTACAAAAAAGTCGACTTTAGAATCTGTAAGCTCACTATTGTGTAAAACTCTGGAACATGTATGCAAAACTTGAATATGAAAGCTTGGATGTCAAACAGCTTAGATAGGGATTTTCTCGGACACTTTGAAAGGGTTACTGATCATAAAAAGTAATTAAAGCTTCCGACTAAAAAAATGTGGAGCTGGTGTGGATGGTTTCTACTCAGGTTCACACCAATGTAGCTCTACTGCCTACATACCGAGGTCGTGTGTCTCTTTCCACTCGCTAATTTCCAATACATTATCAGCAATTCGTCACAAATCGTACGAAAGATTCTTAAGAAATGTCATGCGTGAGCCTACATGGTAGATGCTGCGTCTGTCTCTTTTCACTCGCTAATTTCCAATACATTTTCAGCGAGCAATTCGTCACAAGTCGTACGAAAGATTCTTAAGAAATGTCGTGCGTGAGCCTACATGGTAGATGCTGCGTCCGACTCTTGCAACTCTCAGAGCCCCCATCTTTCGAGTGATAGTGACAAGTTCTCGATGGAAATACTTAATTCTTGTTTTGTTCTGAAGTGTGGTTAAAGTCTCTCAAAGCCCCTTCTTGTTAAGATTCTGAACATCGTCTCGATTACAGGGAGGATAAAAAGAAAATAAAAAACAAATGTGAGGATGAAAACGAGTAGATCGTTGTCCGTGTACACAGACCCACTCGTGCAAAAAATGTGACAACAGCGAGGATGTGAGGAGAATGACGTACTGCATCGAAGAAAGTCTACACTACAAGATTCTGATGGCGGACCTTATGTGTTGATGCTTGTTGAGGTCAGGGGATGCATCCATGACATCGAGCGATTCGACGACCCGACCTGGCTGCACGTTTTATGTCCGCCTGGGTGAACCATGGAAAACGCTACGGCATTGCTGAAAGAACACAGGCTCGCATGCCTGCCCTCCCTCCGCCATACACTGATCGGGGTCTAACATGGGTTACGTAGTGACCAACCACCGACGGGTCCGTTCATACCTGACCTCCCTCCAGCCTCCAGCCTCCAGCCTCGCTTCGCTTACATCGTGAACCTTGGACCTCTCCGGAGTATGGGCAGGCGGCGGCCTGTTGGCCTCCGCTGGCCTCCGTCCGTACGCGTGAGCGCCCGATGTACAAAGTCCTTGCCTCTTCGGAGTCCCGTACTGCACTGGAGGATGCCATGGAGGAGTGACGGAGAATTCTTCGTGTCATAACTATGGCGATGATGGTCCTTCCCTTTAGTTTCGATATAACTCCTTTGTGCTATCCTGCTACTCAATTTCTTCTTGCTCATCGTGGTCCAAAGTGTGTACCATGCATTTGTACCTTGTTTTGCAAAGCGGCTGACTCCTCTTCCTTATAAGACGTCCAGCGCTCTGTTTAATCTTTGGTTGTCCCTCTTGTCTGCCACTTGCAGCGACTTCTAGAACGAATGTGTGCGTTCTATAAGTGTTTAAGTATTTAGAGTTAGAAGGTATGGTAGGTTTAAACAAAAACTAGAAGTCATTGAGGTGAATTTCTTACTCTAACACCCTCACTGAGCAGAACATTCTTTGATGTGTTCTTGAACGAGTTAATGCATATCTTGAAACTAGATTTTTTTAATTTTTTTATATATTCAATAATCATTAAAAGCTTACAACGTTATGTATACTTTCCTACCGTTGGCACTATTATCTTTACTACTGTTTTTTTTTTTCCAAAAGGAATTTACTTTGGCTCGTTTGGACAGGTATTGCTTTAGCAGAAAAATTTGCCTCCCAGCGCCTAAGTTTGAATGTACCAATCGAACGAACTGATCCCGAAGCCTAAGAGATTAAGATGATATATACTCAAGCGGCGAGCTCTAAATAGGTACCATTGTCAAGAATTGGACCTGCATGAAGTCACAATAATATGAGAATGAAGGAAGATGTACGAGCATTGCAGTACTGTAGATTGGATCCCAGAATAGAGATAGGGGCTGGAATAGCCTGATGGGAAAAGGGGAAGCTAAAACCAACTGGATCAAACACTTGCAGACACTGCAATATTTGTGATATTTGACAGGGATCCATTCCACTAACCCAAGCCAGGCCCAGACACTGAAGGGCAGAGGCCATTAGTGAAATACCAGAAGAGCTACAAGTCTCACCTTGTGTCAGGATTAAGCGCCCACAGATTTATCCATATTCTCGGGTAGTCAGTTTTTAAGGGACGTAGCCCATCGTCAAAGGTTTCCTCGGGCTCGAGCAAGATGTAGAGGATTTCGTCGAGCCGTTACCTAAGGACAAAGCACCAGCTTTGGATGGCATGATTACGGAAGCGTTACGGATCAAACGGTTTTAGAGTATACGAATTATGTACGCAAATGCCACAAGAGGTGTAATTTGGTTAATTCAAAAGTCTGGATATCGTAAAAAGTGTAAGAACCGAAAATAAGAATATATATGTCACGGTTTTGGATACATGTCATCAAGATATTGTGAAGCAAAAGATCAGCCTTTCTTGTTTAGAAAGCTCGATTTTGCAAAGTCACACCATCGCCTGGGTGGAAAAAAAATTTTGAGATACAAGGCATTGGGTATCAGCAACAAAAAACGGGGAATGGGTCCAAGCACTTAGTACCAGATACTAAGTGTTCCTTCATAAATCCATGTTAACGAGCTTTTTCTACATACAGTAAGAAACAATGATGGGGACTGGGTGCGACAAGGCTCCACCTAACACCATTATTATTTGCATCATAATCGCAGCCACTTATGGAGGTCCTGAAACAGAGGAGGAGGGGAAGGCAGAGAAGATTGAAGGGATTTGGTACACATGGACGGCCCCCTTTCACGCCACAACTTTTGGCTGATAATACCAGCTTGTGCATAGCAGGGAACGAGCCTGCATCTTAGAAAGCAGAGTTGGCCTGACTGAGTATCAAAAATGATGGGAAGACCAGTTTGAGAAACCTAGATGATCAGTTAACTTATGCAAGCGGATTGCTGAATGGACAATCACTCATCACTTGAATGGAATGTAGAGACACAGCGTCTTCGTTGGGGACTAAGGATGCGCCATTGCAAGGAGACGACAGGTTCTAAGAATTTGTGGAACTCTCTGGTTCAAAACTACTACATCATATAGAGGCGAAGCTGCAAAAGAAAATGGGTTGGTGGTCATGTGATCGAGACTCCACTGCACGCTGGAACATTTGACCAAAAATAGTGAAGAGATCAATTCTCATAATTATATTTTCATTGTCGATAGTTTCTGAACATGGGCATACATCTTTCGAAAAGAGGTAACTATATA